GCACGCACACACACACGCACACACGCACACACGCACGCACGCACACACACACACACACACACACACACACTCACACTTATGCACGCACAGCCACCTCACTGTGGGGTTTCTGCAGCACCTGCCCGTCATGGGGCCCCCTACTTTCTCCAACAGGGAATTGTTTGCATGTGAGTGTGCAGGGGGATATTTAGGGTTGAGTCAGAGGCTCGTGTCAGGCTCACTCTTTCAGGAGGTCTGAGGTCCCATGGGATTACTGGAAAGGCTAGCTGGGGTGTGTTGTGTGTGTGTGTGAGGTGGCAGTAAGTGGGCCTCTCAATCCGCTGTCTTTATGCGTGCGGCACAGCTTTGAATTTCCTCAAGTGGACGTCAATCTAAAAAAAACGTGGGGTTTGACCAAATGGTGAGGTCGTGCCCGGTCTGGCAGCAACAAATGTCCTTTCACTCTTTTATTCTCCTTTCCTCCTCCCTTCTCCTCACAATGAGTTGCTTCATTTGTCAAGGGGCTGACCTTTGAGACCTCCAGCTTCTGTGACAAAGGAAGAGAAATGATGGCCACCGAAGACAAGGAAAATAAGGTTTTTCTAAACCAGTCTGGCAACCCGTGTCAATGCTTGAGAGATAAAAGACAACAGAGCATGGTTTAGTCTTTAATTGTTTAATGCCAAAATACACCTAACAACGTTTCACTATTCTAGCATGTCAAGTGTATGTGTACTACTTACAAACATCAAGAATAACACTGTATAGACTGCGAGGACTACATTTGAATCTGCTTATATGGCAAGGGCTGACCTGGGGGCACTTAGGGTTCACCATCTTTGACATTTGGACAGGAGGAGGCAGAGATAGAACTGCCAATCCTTTGATTAAAGGGCGGCTTGCTTGTCCGGGACATTTTCATTGCGACTCTAGTTGGACAACTCTTTTTGTGAACTAGTTTGTTAAACATACTCAGTTCTTTAAAATATACTAAAGCTACACTTTTATATTCTGGCCAGTGACTGTCTGCAACTAATCTTACTTAATAAAATGTTCCAGTGAGGATAATGCATTGGCCAAATAAGACCTCCAGAGAAGAAGACAATGATGCATCTCTTGTGTTAATCAATTCTGGCATCCCTGCCTTATCAAATGCAGGGCGCACTCAATTCTGTCTATCCCATAAGGGATGTTTATACAGCAGAGAAAAGGAAGGATCATCTTCTCTCCCTCATACCTATTATTTTGTTTGGACTGCGACCTCCCTCCGTCTTTTTGAACGCAGTCTGGGCTGTGTACAGAACCTTCCCCGTCATATCAGTTTTACCGGCCCCCGTGTGAACTCAGTACATACAGCTATCAGTTTCTGGATTTCCGACCGTGGGCTGGAATCAAAGTGCTGCGTCGCTCTGTTCGCTTTCCCCTTCACTTCTCTCTTCTGTCCCCGGAGAGGATTTTGTTGCTGTATAAGTGCTTTCCTCTTCTGCGTGCAGGAAGTAAGAGAACAAACCTCAGAATGCTTTGATTCACGTTTCCTATCGCCTGAAACAAACATGAACTCAACACAGATAGAGCAGTCCAATGAAGCAGATGAGATGCTGCTGGGAGGAAAGCAGCTGCACTGCCCTTTCTCTCCCTCATAATCAAAGAGTCCGAGCCTCTATCTGTCCCCTAAACACACACACACACACACACACACACACACACACACACACACACACACACACACACACACACACACACACACACACACACACACACACACACACACACCAATCTGGAAAGTTATTGTAGCCTGCTGATACACAATGTGTGCATCATACAAAAAAGGTTTCTTTTGGATAAAGCGTATTAAGCATGTTAAATTGCACCCTGAAATGAACTTATGTGTTTTGTAGTTCCTGAGAAGGTTTGTTAGATGGATTTTCTTGAGCTATTGTGGCTATAGAGGAGCCATATTGAAAAGGTTTTGCTGAACTTTTTTTGTCTTTTACCACAGTTTTTTGCCTCTGATATGCATCTGTAAAAACTGAAAAGCAGGAGGCATCTCTATCTTTAAATACGGATATTTTACAAGTTGGATTATGAAAGGCTACACCTAAAGCGCAGACACACTGTATTTTGTCTAAGAGAACTGGGAATGTCCCAGTGCTTGTAAAGCTTGAGATTGGAAGTCCCGTAAACCTGGCTTAATTCAAAGTTGATGGAGACAGGATGTATACTAACCATTGACTTTATATTATGTAAAATAGAATCAAGGCTCTTCAATGCAGCCTTGCAACAGGTCTTTATGTCCACTATACGTGTGTGTGTGTGTGTGTGTGTGTGTGTGTGTGTGTGTGTGTGTGTGTGTGTGTGTGTGTGTGTGTGTGATGATGTGGAAGGCAGAGTAGCTTATCTGACATCTAAATGTTGGAAAATTGTACATTCTAGGCTGTGCGCTCCCCGTTTGAGCGACTGACTACTCCTTCGCTATGTAGCATCGCATTGGATATGGGCTGAACTTTTCCTGGAATAGAATTTTCCCGGCCATTTGCCTAGGAGGCCTTAGCAGAAATGTGCAGAAAAGGCATGAAAACTTCACATTTTTCAAAATGGCCAACTTTCTGAGGGCCTGGTCAACTGGAAGGCAATTTGAAAGATGTCCGCAATGATAAGAGCAATGTGTATACAATGTTTGTTGCATATTGGAACAACCATATGCGAGTAGTTTGGAGTAATTTGCGACATATAAATCCTCAAAAGTTGTATATTCTCTGTTAGCTTACGACCGCCCTGATTGAACTTTTTTACTCCCAATTTAGCAAGGCTGTGGATATGGTCTGAACTGGTCTTGGGCTGGAATTTTTCCGATCTTTTCCCGAGGAGGTGTTTGGGACAATGCGCTTAAAATGCATGAATAATGCCGATTTTTCAAAATGG